TCGGGTTCGAACATCGGCAAGTTGTAAATTTGTCAAAAGCCTACTAAAACCATATGCAAAAGCACCACTCGCCCCTACAATTTTTGAAAGTTCCCCTCGATTTCTCTGGTCTTCCATCATCAGATCCTGATTTCCTTATCATGGGACCATTCTGGGACTATCTCCTTTCCAATAAAAAAAGAATTATCAAAATCGGTTCATAAATAACGGAGATATCGGCGAACAAACATAAAAAAAAGCATATATACGGTCGAATTGAGAACCTCCTCCTTTTTTTGGAAGTCGGTTAAAAATAACACAGAGACTACTTTTTACCCTAGAAGCGATGCACAATGGTGCGGCATACAAACACGTGACAGATGAACTGACATTGCTACTTCAGTATTTGATACTCCTTTGGGAATGAACCTAAAAAAAGGACGTTAGGAACAGTGAATAGTTACTAGCAGGCATTAGCATATTGTAAGAAATATTGTATCATTTTGTTATTTTATTCATTACTTACTTCTGCCAGCGGCTTCGCCTAAATTACCAGGGTAGAAAGCCTGTGCGTTATTTTAGAATATTATGTATCTCAACGCAAATTTCATTCAAAACCGTGAAGTGGTTTCTACAGAACAGTCATGATAGATGTTGGTATATACAAACTTTCGCATTTATGAAATTACGTGGATAGTAGGATAACTTTTAATTCACGATCTTCTTTTCTTTCTTGCAATGTATTAGTGAGATTTTAAATTCATTATGTTTTTTATCACTTATTGAATACTTAAGTTGTTTGTTATTTTCCATAGAAATTTAAATTTTAAAACGAGCACCTATCTTTTCTGATGCACCTTAACTTTCAAGTTTCAAAACTGTATAAGGTGAGCATAGTATGGCAGATCCATGCTTCGGCATTAAAGGATCGGCTCGACAGGAGTAACAAAACCAACTCACCTAAAACTGGCGTGAAATAACCACAACGTTATGTTTCGCTATATCGGTGACGTTACTGGACGCCCAATTGTCTTCCACCATCCTGACTTAATTCCTTTATCGCCAAAACTATAATTTCCAAAAAGCCAGTACACGTAACCACTCTGGAATTGCGGGCGGCACCGATTGTTTACCATCAAGAAATAAGTCAGCACGTTTGCATGACATAAAAAATAGCTCTCCAACAAACAAACAAACACACCTTCAAACTTCATCATATGCGTAAAGATTTTAGTACTTTCAATATGTCATAGGTTATCATTAGTAAGTAAACGGCTGATATCAATATACATAAACATTTATAAACAAAATTAAATTTCTATCTTCGTAATATCAACTGAATTGACGAAAAACAAGTTATGTACAAATCCGCATTAGTTTTAACCAGATTTCTTTGGTTTCACTGACTTCTGATCTATGATTAAATTAAATTGAAAATAAAATTGCAATACTTGCTTATCGAGAAGTTTTTTTCCTTTAGCAAATATTGAGATATCTTATTTTTTGTAAAAAACAATAAATGTAGGTACGTACGAAGATGGTATTTATGTTATTATAACGTGGAAAAAACTGCGATCTACCGCGTTGGTTTTTATGCATAACATTTTTTTAATAACGTCATAGGCAATCCGTGTCAAACAACGCTAGCATACTGTTTACTGGTGGGTCAGGTCACTGGTTATTGACTGGAGGTTCAATTCTGATTCCCAATCTTGAAGTCCTTGACCCTTTAATAATTCCCAGCAACTGGTATTACGGGTATTCGTCGACTAATCAGATTGCTTGATTGTCATCTGTTTCAATCAGCACCCCTATCTCATAAAAAACAAAATAAGTTATATATTTTGCATACAATGCCTCATTTTACAGCCTCGATTCAGCAGAATCGAATACAACGAGTTTCCGCTGTCGCAGTCGCAAGTGATCACTCAGTGAGTGAGTCAATCAATGAGGTTGGTATGGAACGACCGTCATAAGTTACATTAAAAAGAAATATTCGGTATATTTATTTTAACACAGATCTACGAACGACTTCAAGGAAATCTTCTGTCCAGAGAGATCCATTGGACAAGAAAATCACAAATGGTTATACACGTGTGGACCTACAATATGTACACGCGTTTACATAAGCAATGTTTCTTCAATTATTCTTCGTAGTACTGTTCAAATAAGAGGAAATATATGAAGAAAGTAAGCGAGGGCGGAATAGAATTGGGATAGTTTCTCTTGGTGTCAAATATTCCAGGCAAAGTATTAGTTATCGGGATGTTAGCCCGCCCTACCGTCACTGTCACACGACGACCTTGTAGTGTGGTGCAAGTTACTAGCGATATGTACACACGGTCTCAGATATGGTGGCAAAGTTTATAAGGTGCGATGCTGGTCAATTTAAAGAAAAATAAAAAAAAATTGTGGATCACACAAAGAGTTGTTCCGTGCGGCAATCCAACCCACGCTAACCGTGCCGTCAAATTAAGTCTTGGGTTTTGTACAATGCAAGGATTGTTACAGCCGGGGCTGCAGGTCAAGTGAGATAATATATAGCAACCCCAGCCTAGAGCAGAAGAAGGGATAATAAACGGGGCAGTTTTTAGTCAGTAAGAGTCTGCTACTCCCTTTCCTCTGGACGAGAGAATTAATTTGATGATGATATCCCCTATAAAAAAACACATTGGTTTTCTGTGATGCCGCATTTGTATGTCTCTTTCAAGTGAACATACGTAAAATTCACACGTGATTTTTTTATAAATTAAACTTAATTGAGATTAAGTACCTATATAAAGTATTTTCAATTATAGTTTGAAATTGATAGTTTGCACAGTGACCTGTCGACAAGCTATTGAACATTTTGACCTTCTAGTAGATCGTGCGGCCCCAGCCCTGGGCAACATGAAAAACGGTGTGATATTTATTAGGAGTCTGAAACACCATCTTTGTTCGTCGTCCTAGAGGGTCATTGCCATCTCAGCCAGGGTTGCGGGGTAAGTGCAATAAAGTAATGCAGCCTCGGCATAGAGCAAGAGAGCTAACAGGGGGGTTTTTAGTCAGTTAGAGTCTGATACTCGCTCCCGCCTGACCCTGGAGGGAAGAAGTCATTGGATGATCCTCCTCTCACAAAAAAGAGGGTCATTGCAATACGCACCATCCATAATACAACAAGTAATAAAAACCGCGTTGTGTTCTACAGTCTGTACACCCCAACGACTACACTAGCCACCACAGCAAAAATTACAACGTTCTCATAGAAATATATAATTAAATCGCTGGTTCATCTACCTCGCACCACTACAAGCCCTAACTCCAGCAGTTCCGAGATGAAGTTGATAAATGACACGGAGGTAATCCAGCTAGTAATCTCCGCCGGTGCGTCCCGTAATTTTTCACCTTTTTCTATCTTTTAATCCTAAACCGATCGCGCAATGGATGACGTGCCGTGCGTAATGAACGCGGCGTAGACTTGACTGCATAATGAAGAGGGTTGCTTGATGCGTACCGTCACGTTAAACCTTTACGCTGAACCTTGTTTATTGTACATTGAATTATTTACTTTGTATTTTATGTCAAATACGTATTTATTGGTTTGTTTAAAATCGTATATCCGTATTTATAGTGCTTATATACATATAACCTAGGTGTTTTTTTCAGGTCCGAATGAGTGGGTTACTTATGGAACGGCGTCCATCTTGCGTGGTAGGCGTCACAGCTGACAATCAGGCCAGGTCGTGGCGAAAATCCAGTAGTATTTCACATAATAAATAGATTTCAACTTGAGTTTTGGTCTTGTGGTTTTGTTGTCTATTTTATTTTCATATTTTTTTTTGCATTTCAGTTTCATACTCACTATTGCCTATATCATTATCACTAGTCTGTTATTATTTCACATGGAGAATAGTTAAATAAAATGAAATATTTTGTGAAACATATAGGCCTTACACATAAAGCGAGACGATATGTACTTAGCAAGGAAACGAAAATAGTTAGGTATCACCTGATGGTAAGAGATCAGCGCCGTCCGGGTGCGTTGCCAAAATTTAAAGAAACAGTTCTCTTGTTTCTTGATTTAAGTATTTTATTTATTTATTTACATTAAATACGTTGCCTTGCACTAAGATTTTCTCCTGTGTCGTGGATGCGGTTACAAACATACAATATCATATACACATGACACCCAGACCCGGAACAACAATTTGTGGAACAGACAAAGAGTTATTCCGTGTGTCGAACCCTCGACACATTGCACGGCAGCCAGTTGCCCAGCCACCGCACCAACCGTGCAGTCAAATGACGTGATAGTTATATTGTATTCCTACAACTACTGTAAGTAATGAGTATATTTTAATCGTCCGTAGTAGTGATGCTAATATAACTCTAAGCTAGAACATAAAATTTAATTAACATTCAACACCCTTACAATACATTGAAGTAAAGTTCTACAAATAAACATAACAACAATATCGTCGTTATGTAGTTAATTTTAATGTAAACCTGTCTAGACGTGGTTCGAATGCAAACCAATGAATAATAATTAAAATTCACGATCACAATATTAAATGATTCGATAAATAACCTCGAAACGTCTGATGAAAAATAATTGCCTTTTGTGAAATATCAGGCGTTTGTATATTTCCATGGTGTAGGTATTTATTGTACTATGCAAATGTTAATACTGAAGATTTCTATATGTTTGTTCTATTTTTCAAATATCTTAATTTAAAAATAGTGACAAAACTCTTTTGTAGTTGTAATAACACTGGCCGTTAAAAATACCATTACAGAAAAATTACGATTAATTCCAGTTTTATCCACTACCGATAAAGCGGCGTTGTAATCGCGAATGAATGATTACGCAATGTTTTTTCGTTCTTTAGTTCGTCTCGCACTCAGTTGTAAGTCTTGTAACATAACCAAACATTTTGTTTTTTTTATTGTATTTGGTTTAAATAACATTTATTCAAGAATTTTATAACTATTTTAGAGTTACCCTTTCAAATGTTACTTTTTCTTTTGTGTGATTATTAGTGGTTTATTAATAAAGATAATGATATTATAAAGTTATTATTTGTTTATCAACATGTGTATTTTGGCTGCTATCCTACGAAACTACTACAGAATGTATTTCCCAGGTAACGTCTCAATGAGGCAGGAAATTGAATTTATTAAACTTTTCAATCCAATTTTAACTTTTCTCGATTTTCAAATCGATTTGTTTGTTCCGTTATTCCGGTACGGAAATCGAATTTGTCTGTGATGATTCGATATTATTATTGTGTTGTTTAAAACAATAAACAAATTAATATGATTATAAAATTACCTACCCTACGATACATAAAGATGAACATTAATTTGAATTTGGAATAAGAAAACCGGTACCTACTTAAACATAAGCACCGTCTACCTTACAAAAAAAAAGTACACTATAATGATAAGATCGAAGAAGTATAGTTAGAAGGAAATTGTATACTTTAATTTAAGACAGATTTTTGCTTGATATTACAATAACAAAATGAGGATATTCCACCCAGTAGTAGTAGTTGTAGGATTATTTACTGTTTACTCAATAATGCAAGCGATGTGTACACAACAACCATTATTTGTAGACATGGCTGGTGGTTACCGAGGAGTTCGAAGGTACAAGGAGCCCTTACTTAGTTCTCTGGAAGAAGATGAGGCAAGCGATGACGTGGTTGAAGACGAGCCCAGCTTTGAACTATATGATGACACGAATAATGCTTTGAGAATGTATCCATGAACATTTGTATTATGGACAAGGTATGTATCAATGTTTAAAATGTAGTTTTAGCTACTTACCGACAATTTAGTTTTAGCCAACTTTCGTCAGTTTTGTTAAGTATCGTGTATTCGGTCCATCCTGTTTTATAGGATTATCCTCACGAAACAGAAATGTTATGTTCTGTGATTATCCTAGTACTTACAGGCTTATGTATTAATTATAACAACTATATTGCTTATTTATTAGGTACTTTTTATTGTCAACTAGCTGTGCCCCGTGGGTTCATTCACGTAATTGAAAAATGTCCCAAAAGTGAAAAAGAACTTATTCATCTTTTAAACTTTCGCGTTCCATATTTCAAATCGAACTTATCCCCTATATACAATTAGTACCTATAGATAAACATATTTGAAAGTTTATATTATTTCGGTGTTTTTATGATATTTTCTCTTCAATTGCTACAACAAGAAGTTTTAAAACTAAATCCTCTAGCAAAATAAACGTTAGAATTAACATAAAATATCACTCTTCACATCTGTTTACCCGTTAAACCTTAGTAACAATTAAACTTACACGTGGCTCATCTAATTTCGAAGGCTCATCATAAATATTCATACAAATTCAGAGGTTACCTTGAAAGAATTCAGCCAGTCGGAGCTGACATACAAAGTTGGCATCGAGTGGCAGACAGTTTTAAAATATGCGTGTCTCCCACCTCGCAGGGTTCAGTACAATATTCTTTTTTATTACTTATACAACAAAATTTTTTTCATACTCACATACCCATAGGTGAACCCATACATAAAGCTTAAAAATACTGTTAAATGTATAACTAGCGACCCGCCTCGGCTTCCCACGTTTGAAATGCTGATACTAATTTTCTTCATTATTTCATCATCACCATAATCACCAGCCTGAAGACTTCCATTGCTGAACAAAGGTTGCACTAGGCTATTTGATGGATTTTATTATACTTAAAAACCTCCCTTCAATCACTATCTATCTTAGACAAAACCGCATCGAAATCCGTTGCGTCGTTTACAAGCTTTAACTGATGATGACTAGTATGTGTAAAGAAATTTGTCCTTAATTCTTAGAACTTATAAACTGAAAATCAAATGACCTATTTGAACTTGACTATAGGCATTTCTAATACCTAGTTTAACCTACCCCATAATAAACGAGTCACCTAAAAAACCAGCGTATAGTTGTATGTAGTTATTGTGTGCTGAAGTCTACAAAATCATTTTCATAAAATGAATATTTCGTACATTTGCAAATATGTTTCTTTGTGATTCATGATATTAGAAAGTTAGGAATCTAGACAGATGTTATTGGATATTAGCAATATTATAAGTTGAGTATCAATATATCACAATATTGAATAGTATGAAGGTGCTGAGTCGTGACATGACATTATTGGTTTCTCATAAAATATGTTAACATTTCTTTGCATACTAATATTATTGGGACTCGAATCACTTCACAAGTTTTTCAGGTTCAATGAACGTATTTGTAACTTTTTTTAATATCTTACGACATACATTATGTTCAAAGTGCATGTTTGGTAGTTTTACACTTTCGACTTTGATGGAGTTTTTTAGTACCTAAATGCCAAACTATAAAACCAACAGGGCAGCTCTGAAAGTCACTAAAATTCATTATTATAAAACAATAAAAATGTTTGTATGCAAATCACCCCTCTAGTTAAACTATTTGCTGGTTCATAAATTTAAATTACCTACTGTTTTTCGAATCAGAGATTCTTAGAAAAAGAGAAGAACGAAGAGGCAACTCCATATTATTTACCCAAGATTTTCATTTAGAAAAATGTTGTCCAATGCATAAATATAATTATTTATACTTAATTAATCAATCGTTTCATTGCAGGCTCATAATTTGCAAAAGCAATGAATGGGGTGCTGACTAGTATGGAGAACATTTTCAGAAGTTCCAAGCAATGGAAGTATGGAAGACTATCTAGTCTTTGACTAGGACATCACTGGGTCTGACTGAGTCAGTGAAATATACTCAGAAGCGACGTTCCATGGAGATCCATGGAGAAAAACGATGTGGAATATTAAATAATTAATCTATTGAAAGATTATCTATATCTACTGAGAACGAGTGGGGACAATTTAACAAAAGAAAAAATATAGCTTTTCTTATTTCTTCTTATTTTTTACTGTAAAACCAGTAGCCGTTTATCTCCGGATTATGCTAGAGTTAGTGTCAAAATTACACATAAAAACATGTTATTGAAGTTTTCTGACATTCAAGATCCAAAGAATTATAAGAAAAAATGTTGTAATGAAGTTGAAGTTTTCTGTAGCTTTCTCGACTTAACTTTTCTTTTGTCAGTCATGTTTCTACAAAGTAACCTTTTCTTCAGTTGACTATATTTCTTCTTTCATATCATAAATATCGAGCAAAAAGATTCTAAATATTATTTTTATACCAAGCACTGTCCCCACAGAGCGCAAATAATAAATAAAAAAAATATAATTTAATTATTTAAACACCTATAAATGACTTACCTATATTTTACGTTATTTACTCGACTAATATTATTTTTAATTAAATGAAATTGATATCAGATACTATAATTTGTATTGGAAATAACAAATACACTATATTTAATTTTATTGTCATGATCATTTTAAACCTTTATTACTTATTCACAACAGAAAACTAGCAGACAGATGGTAAGCAATCGGTGCTCGCCATAGACGCCTCAAAAAGTTACAAGTGCCTGTTTTTTGGTGATTAGGGATAGGAAATAAGGGGGCTTGAGCTTTGCTAAATTAAAACATTAGCGTAGTTTCGGTTGTTAAGCCGAGGTTGCAGGGTAAGCGCAATGAGGCACCGCGACCTCGGCCCAGAGCAGGAGATGGAATGATGGGTTTTTAGTCAGTAAGAGTCTGACACTCTCTCTCGTCTTACCTTGGGCGGGAGAAGTCATTTGATTTACTCTTGACAAAGAAAAAAAGCGTAGTTTCGATTTTCTGTGACGATGTGGCATCGCTCCGGTTGAATGTAATAAACAATTCAAAATTATACTTTGAATTTTAAAATTTGTGGTTTTCAAATGCAATGCCTTTAGAAATTTGAAATAAACCACAAACCTGAACCAAACGAAAATATTTAACAACGAATGTACGCTAGGTACTGAAACATGTAATCTCATTTCGGTATGAAAGCAATTCCAAACAAACCACCTTTGGGTGAGAATGAATTGCACAAGAATAAGATAACTAGTAGTTTGCGCTCCGCAGTAAAGCAAATGGGCCTGATTAAACAAGGAAATGCTAAAACTTCAGGAAGAATATAACGCCTTTTGGAATTGAAAGATAAAAGAATGCGTTTTATTTTTTGAAGAGGAGACGTCATTGACATGCTCTGATTGGTACGAGGAGTGTCAGAATCTTACTAACACACTAACTAAAACCTACCCAATTCCTTCGCAACCTTAACCCCATTGGACATTACCCCAAAAAAGTGTGAAAGGCTTCATTATTTTGTGTGATTTCCTTGCGCATTTTAGTGTATGAACTGCAAAAGTAAGTACAAGATTAAACAAAGGTGCCCACGCATACCCACGTATTTAAATAACGCAAGATATGATGCTAAAGCATGCAATCCAGGAAATCAGAACATGAGCTATAAGTGACATAAAAAAAAAGATCTTGTTAGTTGCAATAGTCGTATCTGCAAAAGGAAAGTAATGGTTTTTAAGTTCAATTTGAGACTCGTATACAATATATTTTAGGATATTTTTGGCTATTTGATTTCAAAGATAAGCACTGAAAGCCAGATAAATTGGAGTTGTGCTTTATGAATCCTAATGGACTATATTTTAATTATTATGTTTTCGGCTTACTCACGTAATAATTTGACGAGATACTCGACTAGTTTCAAGCCCTGCTAAAGGGTCATATTCGTCAAATTGTTTACGTGAGCAAGCCGAAAACATAATAATTTTAGAATTTCTCACGAAAGCTATAATAAAGGCTTAATTTTCCTAAATTAGGTCCAATTACTAGTAAAAATGTAACTTAACCTTTAGCTGCAGCCTTTCTAGCTTTTAACAAGGGCTCGTACATCGTGGCTCCGGACGGGAGCAGGGAGGGAAAGGAACAGGTTGGTTTAAGACACTGATACTCCTCACGCCCATCCAGGCCGGAGAAGTCACTTCAAGATATTCTCAAACAAAAAAAAATGTAGTTGAAAAGGCAATATTATGTTATCTACATTCAGTCATCGCACTAGACATATTAACATTAACTATATAGAATCCTGCCTTGTCTCTTCTATTCAGATTTATAAGCACAACGTGCATAATTTATATTTCATAACTTTCAACTGCGGGGAGTAATTCCAAACTGATTTACATACAATTTTATAGACGTGTATAAATTTACTTAGTAACGTGTGCTAATTGAATCTAGACAGTCTACAATATTTTATGTGTCTTAAGATTGGATTTGATTATACTTAAGCGTAATTTAATCACTTAAGTCAAAGTCATATTTTCTTTGCTGTCTTAGCAATAAGCGTTCCTAAAAAGTCCTTCTGGTGTTTGGTGTCCAGCTGGCCCCATAAGTTCCATACTCAACCAAAAAGTGGCCAATTAATTTTGCTTTGATCACAGCTTGTCCTACATGACACAAACTTCGATCATTTTCAATTAAAACTCAAACATCTTTCAACAAATTACCAGCAGAGTTTCACGTTCAAAAATAAATATTATATTAAATCACACAAAATGACCTAAAAATATTCCGCATCCCCGAGGATTGTACTTAATTAGAAATACAGCACAATGAAAACCACTATTGTTGTTTAATTAACATAATTTTAAAATTCAAATAAGGAATCCTGATCCTTTGTAAACCAAAAACAGATAATTTAAAAGCACAACAAAGCGAATGAATGTATTTTAGCGTCGTACATTCGTATTTTAGAAGCTGTTCATGGAATATGTACTTTGTGTCGATAGATTACACCTATTTACGTGATAAAAGCGGGTCGTGCTTCCAATCAAGCGCGTGTGGCCACCCTTACACCGCCCCCAATAACTACGTTACAGAAGTATTAGAACTAGTACTCGATAATCCAGAGAGGAGACGAGCTATGGTGCAACTTTAATTTCAGTGACTATTTTGCGACTGTTGCTAGGAAGCTTCTTAGCTTAATTACTCCTAATAACATTTTAATTTTGCAGAATGTGTTCGTAGCTTTTGTTTTGTTTTTCTAAAACGTTGCCCCAGTCTAGTTGCCTTTACTATCTGCTGTAACGTGGGTGCGTTTACAAACATACTATTTCACAGACACATGACACTCAGACCCGGAACAACAATTTGTGGATGACACAAACAGTTGTTCCGTGCGGGAGAGCAAACCCGCAACACGTTGCGCCGCAGCCAGTTAACTAGCCTACTAGTAAAGTTTACTCACACCAATAATTTTTTGTAGTAAGTACGCAGGATTTGTTGAAAAACAACGAAATGTGTAACATTATTTAAGCCTCTAAAATTCCACATGTTTCTGAAAGAAAAAAAAAACAAAATACAATTTCTACGTTTTAAAAATCTTTATTCAAAGTTTGAAATAACAAAAGAGTTTGTTGCTTCTTATATTTTAATGCTGGCAGTAAAGTGTAACGGAGTATAAAGGATGAAATAAGACGTTGCACAGACAATGAACATGCGACCAGACGCAATTCAAACTAAATTGCTGTTTGTTGCAATATTCTTTGTATTGCTATTGGACTTTTGACCTTCGTACAATAAACACTCAATCATAAAAGATTTAGAAAAAGATTGTTATTTTAGAATAGAAAATATAGCTGGTGACATTTTTATTCCTTTAATTTTGCATTTTGATAACTTCATTCCTTGTTTTACAAATATACGTTTGGATATTTCGTTTAACGATAGCGTCCTTTGAGATTTTATAGAGCTTATTTGTAGTGATACTTGAATGATGTCCTCTAACTTTGTGAATATATAAGTAGTATTACGAAAGTCTTGTTTTATATCAAAGGGCAGGACAAGACAGGACTTTGTGTACTGTAAAAGTAGCCTTATATCAATTTAACAGAACATTTTTATTACTATTGCTTTTGATTTGAAGTTGTAGGGTACAAGCGCAAAAATATGCTCCGGCCCTGCATGGAGTTGAGTAAGATTTTGTCAATAAAAGTCTGAAACTCTCTCTCGCCCATCCCAGGGGAGGAAAAGTGATTGAATAATTTTTGACCCGAAAAGCCTTTGTTTTTCTTATAATTAGTAGTGAGCCAAGCGTTGGCTAAATAGACCGGCGTGTTCAGAGATACACTAAAGCATCACATAATACTGGCCATCCATCCCTCGTTCTTCCTCCCGGATATCCCCAATCTGAAACGAAAGCGCACATGTCATTCCTTGTTACAAATGTTTATGGACAGAGCCTATTGCTCTTCATCAGTCTACTCATTTGGCTACCGATTCCGCAAAAACAAGAACTAGTAAATTCCCTAATAATTCACTACCCACCCTATACAGTAACAAAATGAAATCAAATTCTAACAGTTTTGTTACACTGCAACAATCACATAGCAATCAGTTGCCCTCACTAAACGCGTGAGGCGGCGTCAAAGGCCGGGTGCTCTAAATTATATTGACGTGCTCCCATTCAACCGTCGCCGGTCTCTGCCACTCTCCGGAACCCCACAAAAAGGCCCCCAAGGGTCTCTGCACCACATAATGTCGTATTCAGATGAAAGAGTAATCACTAGCAAGTAAATATAGAATGGAATATATTGAGTGGAATTGAAAGTAGAAATCATAACGTGGTTTCTGTTGTCGTATGATTGTGACGTCATTTTTGTGTTGTGTTAAATGTTGGAGCCAATTATGGAACGGGGATTTTTTGTGCATTATTTTATAAGTCAAAAAATAACATATCGTAGGCATAAAAATACATATAGAAACTTTGTGGGGAATACAGTTGAATACAGGATATCCCTATAAACGGGTTATAGTTGTTTATTTCTGGCTATAATTGTTCTGTTTTCATCTACATATTTCTACAAACTAGTGAATAGGTTATTAAATTCAGAGCTAGTTTTTTTACGACACCCGTAACCCCGTAGTATTTACGAGGGCGTTGCCGACCTTTAGGGGATTAGAGATTTGGAGATTTTGGGGTTCGGAAGGAATTGGGGGAGAGGTGGGCCTCCGGTAATTTCACTTATATGGCGAATTACAGAACTGTCGTTGTTTTACGCCGGTTTTCTGTTAGGCCGTGATATCACTCCGGTCGAGCCAACCCATTCGTGAAGCTTGGCTCTCCGCACTAAACGATGTTTCATGCGGATTTCTTGTGTTACACCATTCGAGACTGCTCATTCGTCTCAAACAATAGGACTCCCACACTTAAAGTTAGTAAGCAGTCACCTTTGCGACTATTACACTAAAATTAACACTTTGTTAAAGGTTTCTAGGTTGCAAAAGCAATTTCAAATAACTTCATTAGGATTCCAAACTAAGTATCGATATTGAACATCGTCAAACTGTACTAAGTCGCGAACTATCGACAACTCTAGAGCTCATCAGTTTCCCTTACTTCAGTTACAATTTGTGAGAAAA